GCCATCTATTTAAGTAATTTGGTCAATGCCTAGTATGTAAGACCTGTTACGAATTATCAATTCTTAAAATAAATCATGCAAAACGGTGGTTAAGTGCTACGACAATTTGTATCCTTTATTGTCAACGAGTTTACAATATGTTATTGTTTTGTATCGTGGCACAATTTCGACAACAATACCACATATTATGTACGAAACATATTTCTCTTCGTAAAAGGCTGAAACTTACCTATAGGTTATACCTAGCATAATCTTCAAATGGGGCTTCCGATAATCCATTATGCTACAAATAATGCCTTGTGAATATGAAGGTATAGATACTTTAAATACAAACGAAAACCTTATTCATGCTCATGCAGAATATTTGTATCAGCTAAGGTATCTGTCGTTAAGTAACGTTGCCTGAACTTGCCAATGACTTCAGGTATTTTACAAGTTTATTTCATCCCATTTTATAAATATCGCACATATCTCGTCATAGGGGTGGATCAAGTTCCTGTATTAATTCTTTTTCAAATAAACCTACAAAGTTAAGCGTACGTAACCCGAAATCTCTCATTTCTAACCTAAGAAATGCTTAATTCAAAACAAAACTGACAGGTAGTACATACGAGATGGGCGGTTCTATTTTTAGTACATATGCAATTATGAACTTATACCTTACTTATACATATGCAATTATGAGAAATATATAGTGACATAAAGTAGTTGTATATAAGGATTTTAGAGGAACCGATAATAATGCATATCATAATTCGCTAAAATATAGTGACGTTATTTGAGCGTTATTTAATAGTCGTAGATAAAAAATATTATTTTTTAATATTTTTTCTTTTTATTTATTTTTTTTGCTGATGTGCAAAGCTCTTACCGTCGTCAAAACATAGAAACATAAAATTACAAACAGTGTATATGTCGTAGTCTTTTAGTGAAATCCGTCATTTCACGAAACGCCTAGTCATTTATATGAAACTGTGGAACAGTTTACTTTCCAGGACCAAGCGATTGGATTCCCTTCCCATTAGAGATCGATAAATGGTATCCTTATCGATCTAGAAGGGGAAGGGAAATTACCCCACACGTACAAATTTTCAGCGTTTCACTAAATGACTAGGCCTCGGACTAGGCGTTTCGTGAAATGACGGATTTCACTAAAAGACTACGACATATATAACAAGATCACAAGACGACACAAGTATTAACACATAGGTTTAAAATTGGATGCCTTTATGGTGTCAATAAATTCGTTACAAGAGTAGAACGCGTTCTGCAGAAGGAAATGTTTCACTGTAGATTTAAATTTAGAAGGCGGTAAGGCTTTGACATCCATTGGAAGGCAGTTGAAAAGTGCTTGCGCCTGATAGATGGCTCCCTTTTGAGAAAGTGAAAGTCGACAATATCGAATTATGCACGAGGCACGTAATACACAATTAAAGAGAATAGTTATTTACATAATAAGTCATGAAAGTGGTCGTTTACATGACGCGTAGGCTTATTGAAAAGTACGAGGACGCGCAGCGTCCGAGTATATCTTTAATGCCTCCAAGTCAGGGGGACTCACTTTCATGACATATTATGTATGTACCTATAAAATTTTACCTGAAACCGCAACATGTAGATAAGATTTTCAAATTAAATTATTCATATGTGTGAAATTTTCATACCTAATCACGCATGCTAAAATATGTTTATCTACGACCATTAAATTATGCGCTTATAATATGCCTCTATTTCTAAAAATAATGCTACCCATAATTAATTGCTATGCAGTTATGGAATCTCACTTGGGCTATGATTGGTTGCAAACCATTGAATAATATTCATAACTCAATGGTTCCAAAATAGCGCGCTCCTTGAAAACAAAACATGAAAATGTCAATTATCGTGACAATCATTCTCGCTAGTATTTTTCCGTTAGTTTATTCATAAGTTAGGAATGGACCTCGATAGTGAGCACAAAAATAATGAACTCGTGGCCGTGGATACACCTCCTGAGGTTATTGCAACAGGCAGAAGAAGTGTGTTCAAATTTATTGCCCGAAAAGTCTCGAACGAAGTACGAACACGTATATGGAAAGTTTATGGAATGGAGACTGTGAGCATTGTGAGTTAAGTGACATGAAAGTTGAGGATATTAAGGATTTTGAAGGGGGAGTTATTATCACAATACCTAAAACTAAAACTAAAATTCTCCGAACGTTTACAGTTACGGTTCAATTCTTTGATATATACAACAAATATGCGAAATTGCGCCCACCTACCGTTCAATCCCCCTTCTTTTTTTAAATTTTCAAAAGGGAAAATGCACAAGCCAAAAAATTGGAATTAACAAATTTGCGAAAATGCCCAAAGACATTGCTACCTTTTTGAGATTTACGAACACTGATTTATACACCGGTCACTGTTTCCGAAGAACATCCGCAACAATTCTAATTGATGCTGGTGGAGATATCATGGCTTTGAAAAGACACGGTGGCTGGAAGTCAACAGCCGTAACCGAAGGATACGTTGATACTTCCTTGACAAATAAGTTGGATACCGCTAAAAAAATTTCAAGCTCTGTGATTTCTACTTCCAATATCGCTCCACAACCTGCAGCATCATCATCCGGAACATCTTGTAGTACTAACGTATTAAATGCAAATGCACATTTTGGGACCCATGCTCAAACAAACTTGCAACCAAATTCTATAAAATTTGTTAATTACGGTACCATGTTAATTTTTCAAGATCTACTACAGAACTTACTTCGCCATAATTCGACGTTAATAAGAAATCTTTCATTTAGAATCAAATCCTGCTTACTTTGTTTTCATTTCAGTTATTTTTGCTTATTTATTGTAATGTAAATGCTAATAAAATATTAATCTAATTGAAGTAATAGTCGTAGATAAAGTATAGTATTACACTCGCATGTTATGGCTCTTATTCACTCGGTTTCCTTGCTCCACTCGCTCGCAAGCTCGCTCGCGTCGCAAACGTCAACCTCGTGAATAATAAGCGTCATAACATGCTCGTATAATAATATACTATAACATAGTAAATTCCTTCAAACATAAGAGTAATTTTTTTAAATTAAAGTTATTCGAAAAGTGAAAGACTACACTTACAAAATCCTGGAATGAGTGAATTTTCGATCGAGCATAGGTTTATATCTAAACTGAAAAATTTTCTATTACAAATTTTCCTCCACCTTATTTTTGTCAATTACTAAGTAATTATATTTGAAACAAAAAAAATTGTGAAATATTAGTATAATATTATCAAGGGAACAAAGTGTGTCTTTAAATCCTGAGGGTGTATGTATACAAAACCAGATAATAATTTGTAGTAGACCTGCTTCAACCACTCTGGGCAACACTATTTTATTGATGATTGAGAAACCAATGCATTCGTAGTGCATCTTATATTCACAAAAAAATCTAAATATAAAAAATATAACTTGGAGTAGGTACCTTGAGAGCGCAACATAGAAAGATTTTGAGAAATTGAAACGGATTTGACATAAATTTGAGGAGAATTTGAAGGAAACTTAAGGGAATGTTGCAGGAGATATGAGGGGGAATTCGGGAACTGGTAACGAATTTGAGAAAAACTCAACTTTGTTCATATTAAAAAAATCATATTATTCTTGTTTAAATCGCATTTATAATTCAATTGTATCGTCAAACGACTGACACAAATAAAGAAACATTTCGCATTTCAAAAAAGGTAATAACGAAGGTAATAGTTTTTGTAATAATTATAACATCAGATATCGGCTATCGCCCTTTAATAATGTTAAGAAATTTTAATGAGAAGCAAAATATGTATGCAATTATATAAGATGTATCAATTAAAACATGCATCCTCTATTAAACCAACTTAATGCTCGAAACTTCAAATTTGTATAAAAGTCGGTTTCAAATTCACTCACTTTCACTTCACTCTCAAATCATTCATTTCATCTCCTGAAAAATTTAAATGGCTTCCTGGGCCTGTGTCATTAAAATTCTTTCAAGAAGCGAAAATCTATGCAAATTGAGTCCCACTTAATTACAAATTTAATAGCAACTGGAGAGGAACTTAACGCAAGCGAGGATGGACATTCCGAGTAATTGGAAAACTCGGCAGGAACTTGTGAAGAGAGCTTCAGAGGAACAAAGGGACGTTTCAAGAGAAATTAAGTAGGTTTCGGTAAAACATGAAAGGAATTTGAAAACTTGAAACGAACTTAAGAGAATCTTGAAAGAATCTTGCGAGAAAATTGAGAGGAACGTGAAAGAAATTTCAGCAGTACTGATAGGAGTTTTAGGAAGACTTGATGGAACGTAAGAAGAAGCTTGAGATGAACTTGATTTAAGAAGAAATCCAAGAAAAAGAAGAAGTCAACGTAAAAGTAATTTGAAGAGTACCGTGTGTCCTATTTTGGTTGAGACAACGGTGTATCTCAGCTGCTTTTAAAGATAGAAACTTACGGTTTTCGCGACCCTGTGACACCTTTTTATGATATTTTTAATACCACAAATACGAGTAGAATCATGGAAAGTTTGACTTTTAGGATGTTATCATATCTTACTACCCATGTAAGATAGAAAAAGGGCAAACACTGTTTTTTTAGACGCTTTTACATAGAATCCAGTGGAGTAGTAAAAAGATTTTTTGGACCACCGTTTCTGCAATTTGACCCAAGGTTGGTATTTTTTAAATTGCAACACACTCTGTATATATCAGTCAATATTTTTCCCCATCTCGTCGTCTGATTTTGGTACGTAGACTTGAATTATAAGAGTGTCTACCGGCCAACTCATCACTTTGATCGCTAACACTGTCTGGAATTATCTTGGTAATGTTTTGGTACAACTTCTTTTTGAACAAAATTGCTACTTCTGCTTCTTTTTTCTGTCCTCCTTTGTAAACCATTTTGTAGTCTCCTGCGCCAAACTCTTCCATTATATTTTCTAGTTTTCCTTTTCTGATCATTGTTCTTGTATTCCAGGTACCTAGCCTTAACATGAATTGTTTCCTACCATCTTTGCTCTCACACTCATGGAGTAGTGCTCTCCCGGAAATCAGAAGGTGAGCATTTTACTCCGGAGCATTTCTTCTCAGGAACTGTTACAATACAGAAGAGTATCCTAACCGTTAGATTCTCCCTTGGAAATATTCCGTCCGTAACATTTACACTACAATCTTCCTTGTTATATTTAATCCAATGTAAATACATTATAGTCTCACCTACTAATCACCGTTTCTTCTCTTCTAGTACCTTTGATTACAATAATAACTACCGCCACCAAAAATTGGGACCAATAACTTCTCACACGGTTTTAACCCTAGACCCTCAAACTGGACGCGTCCTGAAAAAATGGGGAAAAGACATATTCTACATGCCACACGGACTTACAATCGACCACCACAACAACATGTGGATAACAGACGTGGCCAGACATCAGGCGTTCAAGGTAAGTCGGCAATAGCATGACAATTTACATTTGCAATTGAATTTAGTTTTGCCCCGACATGGACGAACCGCAGTTGATTTTTGGACAGAATTTCGAACCGGGAGACGACAAAGATCACCTTTGCAAACCGACCTCAGTTGCTGTTGCTTCCACCGGTGAAATATTCATCGCCGACGGTTACTGCAACAGCCGAATTTTAAAGTTTACGGCGTTGGGGCGTCTTATGAGAACAATACCCAGTGGAAATGGTTCATTGTTTAACAGAGAGATAGTGGAGCTTACATAAACTGATTTTTTTAGAATGTCTCTCTCTGTCCGTTCCTCATCATACGGCGTTAATAGAGTCTTTGGACCGAATTTGTGTCGCCGATAGAGAAAATAAAAGAGTGGTTTGTCCTTCTGCAGAGCTTAGTGAGAGATCTTTGACGCAGCCGCTTACAATTCAAACTCCAGATATGGGTCGAATTTTTGGAATAGCGGCAGTAGGTAGGTAAATTCGTCTACAGAAATTGACCTAAATTTACCTAAATTGACTTAACTGCGATAATATATTTTCATTGCAGGTGAAATTATTTATGCAGTTAATGGACCATCATTACCTTTCGATATGCAGCTTCCGGTCCAGGGATTTATTATTAGCGCCGAAAATGAAACAGTGATCGGGGATTGGGGTCCATTTGAGGTGGGTAAGGGGTAAATGTACACAAATTGAAATTGTATATAGACTTTGAATATAAAATATTTTATATTCAAAGATGGAGATGAATTGCGTTTGCATGTTCAATTCCAGTGACGACGTTACGTATTATGGGCTGCCTAACCCTCAGTGTGTTTTGCAATACCTTTTTCTTTCACATTCTACCATTGTGTATCGTTTCGTAGCCTACATCTGGTAGGGTCGATGATTTAGTTTCATTTTTAGCCTTTTACACCATTAAAATGCTATTGCAACGGACTACCAACGCGCACGTGCACTTTCTGTAGGTGATGGATTCTACGTACTTCTTTCTTCTTACGCAAACTACATTTTCTTGTTTACCGATACCCATCACGTTCCCCTTTTTGGTGTTCCTCTTCGCATTTACCTTCCACCGTCTGAAGTTATTGCAACATTTCTTTCAGTTCCTGCACACTACTCTCGTCAGAAAACCTAATAGAAGTTATTCCTCTCCCTCCAAGACTAAGTACCTTCTACATGTCAACAAAACACACTTTCAAACTTCTCCCTTTCTCCAAGCATCTTTTTCCAGTTATTTTGACCACCGTAATTGCGGTTCTTGTGTATATTTGGAGGATAATACATCAAGCAGTCAACTCTTTCAACCCTTCTTTCATTTCAAAAGATCCACTGACATGCTGTCTATACTCTTGCAGCCTAGCCATCCATCATAAGCAACTATCTCTGCTACAGAAGTACCCACATCACTTTCTGCATCCACCTACATTTCTAATGGCTGTTTGCTGGCGTTGTACAGATCTTTCATGTATTGCTGCCATCTTGATTGACCCTTTTATTAAAAAAAAAATCTCTGCCGGGTTTCACATGCTTTACATCGAATTAACATAAAAACATATAAATCTGACATACATATATTAACGAAAATCAGATTCCTTATGTAACAGTGTCTCAAAATTGCTACTTAAGCAACTTTCACAGTCGTGATATATGAAAATAAGTCCAGTAAACATACATTCGAAAAATAAACTAAGAAGTGACACAGTTTAACAATTTTCCACACTTAGAACTTTCGTGCTAAATGTAAACACTGTCAATGTATGTATATTCGAAAGTAATTGTCGCATTTTTTGTTTACAGAAATTTCAAAATCCGCACGCTATAGCGGCGTCGCCCAACACATCGTCGCTTTACGTTGTCGAAATTGGGCCCAACAAAGTTTGGAAATTTAATTTGGTACGTGGAAAACAATAAGGAGGATAACGTAATCTTCTGCCCATAGTATATTATTAATATTATACAAATTTGAAGGACAAGTAATTTATTGTAATAACTGTACTAGCGGACAGCTCTTATTTTTTAGGAAAATAAAGGTCATTCTAAAATACATAAATAAAGATTTGTAAGTAGTAAATAGAAATGTTCAAAATTATTTTGTATTTTATTTATTATTCAGACAATAAATGTTTGTTTAATATTCTTGCACATGCATGCATAGTAGGAGCAAAATTTTGTGCAAAAGTAATCTTGAGGGATTAGTGACAGTAACAATGAAACGAAATTTAATAATTAATGTTTAGATGCACATTCTGGTTCTTGTACCATATTTTATGGTCATCACTCATTATACTAATTATCATACGCTTTGTTTTGAATATGGGAGTATATAATGCCCTAATACTCAATTCTACACAATGACTTTATTATAAATTTTAAAAACAATTAATATTCTCCAAGGATGGTAAATAACATATAGATTTTGATAAGTAACCGTACGGTGAATCGCATACGATTTTCAGTAGGAGAATTTTTTTTACTCAGCTTGCATTCGGAAACTCGACTTTTTTCTGCTCTTATTCAATACCACTGTTCCTTCAACTCGTAGAAATCGATTGGCGAAGGTTTGACATCGCTGCCTTAGTCCAGCCGACAGATAGTATCAGATAGCAAAAGGTCGGAAGTTAAGGAATTTTTGGGATGTTGTTTAGGGATGGTTTTTTAACATTTTCTCAAGTTTTCAACCTTGAGACCCTTTGCGAAAAGAGGGGGACTGCAAAATGTTTGACTGTCTTCGCGATTTTTCTCAATAATTTTTTCCTACGACAAAAGCATCTACCTACATCTATAGAGCACTAAATTTCCAAAAATGTTGACTAAAGGATTTGTGTAGGTATGTCAATTACCGAGATATGGCGCTTCGAAGAAACGTCATTTTTCAAAATACACAAAAAATATCTAAAAATTATAATTTTCAAACGAGTAGATACCCATATGCTCATCGAGATCTATCAGTATCGAAGGTTGTTAGATGTTTTCCTTCCCCTGCAAGTTTACTGAGTTACTTAGGTATCTAGGTACCTATTATAATAGTACTTTATAGTAAGTCAATGCCAGTGTAGGTGTTTTTTCTGATTCTAAGCATACCGGGTGATTGCATAAGCAACCAAGGTCGTGTTCTCCTCAGCGACCATGGTGAGCATAGCACAATACCAGTCCTTGGGCAAATGATGAAAATAAAAGCGCATTCTACGTAGCTAAAAAACAATAGCGACCTTTGTTATATCCTTAAGACCATGTGTACCAATTTTCAAAGCAATCGAAGGTTTCTATACAGGAAGACAGACGGACGGACAGACAAACAGACAGCAATTATAAACGCACCAGGATTGTTAATAAACAGAGTAGTCAAGGAGGATAAACAATAAACATGCAATAAAAATTGGTGAAATTAGTCAACAGTGATGATGATCGAAAATAAATTAATATAATAAATACATAAATAATATAATAAAATAAAGCTATAGATGGTGAAATAGTGATACAGATTACAGATACAGCAGCATTTGTTTCTCGGTGGTTCTCTTAAATCAAACTTCATTTAAAGTTATACCAGTTACGTTGGTCGCAAACTTTCGATTTGATCAACTTTCAAGAAATCCGTTCATTTTAGATATATAGGGATGCAAGTAGTCGCAAACTGTACTTATTTTTCAGTATAGAATTCATTGGTAAAGGCAACAGATGTTAGATTCTGTCGGGTTAACTTCATAAAAGGAAATCTATTTTGTTTAGTTTAGATGTATGGTAACTTGGTAACTTTGATATATTTTTTTTCGAAATCGTGGTAAAACCTTCATTTTCATCCCTAGGACATTTCAGTGACAGTGGCACTAACATTAAATCTGACTACCTTTCCTGCCTCGCTTGTTACTTTACCAGACTCCTGCCAAAACTGACACATTAATACTAATATATACCTAGTTTTATTTTATAGGAGATGTTAAATTTACATTTTAGTAGGTTTGAATCAGTAGGCCAAGTGTCTTTTTAACCGTAAGGGTAGTGGTCTTAATTTAACAAGGATAGATACAGTGAAATAAATTATTGTGCATTCCAATGACATCTGTCATTCTTATTAAAAATGGGACGCGGACTACGATATAAAATGAAGTTCAGAACAGAATACAATATGGCTTCCATGGAAACGACGGGAGAACCTAAGCTTGATATTTTGGACGTATATACTAAATACCTAGAGAATTTTCAAAAGTTTTATAATGATTTCTATGACTTCTGCTATAAAATACAGTTTTGTATTACACACGACGATAAAGGGAAACTAACCATCTCGTGAAATTTAATTCACTCAATCGTGAAAACATTCCTTTGTCGTCCTGTATAATAAACGATGTCAGAGGTTGTCAAATCACCATCAAATTTCCGCGTTATAGAACTCTACAAGCTAACAAGCTTAGCTTGTAGAGTACATTATGTGCCACATGGCAGATAATGAACGTCTGTGGTAACTCGGTTCGTATTTTTCATGTACCCAAATCCCCACATTAGAGGAACAATGAATTTTAAGTAGACTTGATGGCATCTTACAAGGAATTTAATGGTAATGGAACCGACAAAATAACTGGGAAGCGTATGGAGGAACTTGCGGGAAACCTGAGAGCAATTTGAGAGAGGCTTACGATGAAATTGAAAGAAGCGTAAGGAGTTATGATTCGGATTTTGGGAGGAACTTAAGGAAAATATGAACGAAACATGCGAGTAAACTTAAACATGAAAGAAAGTGCTGGAGAGGAAACTTGGCAAAGGGGGCGAAAGGATCCTGCAAGCCACTTAAGAAGAGCTCTTCGGAAGAATAGACGCTTTGATTTCCGGCTGGTAAATTTGGTTACATGTAAAACAACTTGTACGAATTTAATTGAAACGGTTTTAATATACGTGATAAAAATGGGCCATTTTTTACATAAAATACCAAACGGAACACACTGGCGATCAAAATCAGTGATGCTACATGAAACTGGCATTACTTGCGTCAATACCAGTTGCCATTATCTACAAAATTAAAGTATGCATAGAGTAATAACATCACTTTCAAATTTTAATCGCCAGCTGCCTTTTGTGTGCGTTAATCAAAATTATCCACTTTTACACTTGTGTCACCCTTATTGCAAAAATCAATTGAGCTTTTTATTTTTTAAATCCGCATCTTCCTCAGCTAGCCGTTTTTGTATGGCATAACTTTCGCTGAGTTTCTTAGCCAGCTGCGGTAGTACTCTCTGAAAGCGACAAGTTAGATAGCGATACCCAATAGAGAGACACAAATTACAGTTTGTGGCACGGGAAAGCTGGATGTACTGGCGTAATTTCTAGATCTTCTCTTGTCGTCACAAACGATGATTCTTGGAATATTATTTTCGGCTATTCCACATACAATCACTTTCGGTAGCATGTCTTCGTTAAAGTTTTCTCGAGGTCTCGGCGATATCAAATCCTGAAATCGACTGGCCTGGTCGATAAGAAAGCGAATTTTGTCGGTTTTTGCGTCAAATATGCTCAACTGGTCGCTTAATTGTTTGTTCTTCTCCTCTAATTGTTTGGTTTCTAATTCGGTCATTTTTTCTTTCTGCGGGCTTTGTGCTTTTTACCTGACAGTGTATTTCGTTTAAGTACCCACCTTCAATAGTAATGCAATTTCTGTTTTCAAATCGTATATAGTTTTTGAAGTATCCATTGCCTGCCGTTCTGCATCTTCCAGTTCCTGTGCGGATAAGTCAGGATTATAGCCCAAAAGGGCTTTGGTTTCTTCGGATGTAGGTAGCATTTTCCGCTGACTATTATATAGCACTATACACATAAGTTGTCACTAGGTAATTAGTTGAGTGGAGTCGCTGTTCTGAAGAGCTTTATTAGTTATTACTAAACCTGAACTTTGTCACTTACCATTCAACGCATACATTGGAGCTTGCAAAAGTTATGATCACGCAAAATTTGTTCCAAGGAGATGATTCTCCATGTTCAAATGAATGTCGGTAGTCAAAAACTAGAAATGTAATTTTTATAAAACCGTTTCCAAAACAAAAATTATAACAGCTTCACACTTTGATTCAAATCACAGGCATATGAATTCGTTTTTGAATCAGATTATTTGCTGTCATATAGTTATAGGGACTTATGGGGCATTTACATGAGTCAATTTTCGCCGTCGCTTCACAAATTTCCTCACAAAGCCGCATCGCCAACCCATTTACACAGTTGACTAAAATCGCAAGCGAATAAGCCAAAAACACAACTTTATGCGGCGGGCGATCGTCTGCAGCTGACCATTTTCACGGTCGATTTTAGTCACCAGCCGCATGCTGCCCGTCCTCGCACGGCCAAAGTCGGATGCTAGTCTACTTTGGAATGCTTACGGCCTAGCCGAATTGACATTTAGACGGTCGATTTTTGCCGTGCGGCGTTGTCGTACGGCCAAAATCGACCCGTGTAAACCCCCTATTACTGTCATTGGTTGAATCGAACAGCCTCACCTCTTTTGAGAATACCATGAGCTACCTCTATCGCCCGAAAAACGAGGCTTTGGAATTGGGTCAGATTCTACTAACAAGTGGGAATAGTGGGAAAGCATCATTCGTTGAATTTCGTTCAACGATGTCATGCAGTGCAAAATCTATGTCAGTCGTAAAGTAAAGTCGTAAAATTTTCAGTCACGAAAGAAATTAAGCCACGAGCGAGAAATCATCTCCATAGAGTTACCGTCAAGCTGCGGACGAAGATTTTCACAGAATTTCCAAGGAAGAAAGCAAGAAGGTTGAAAATTTCCACGGCGGAACTTCACCAGAGAATTCTGTGGCCGGTCCGTGCAGACTACAGCTGTAAAGCCATGTATTGCCATATTAAAGAATCAGTTAGTGAGAAGTATGTAATAAAATAATTTCCATTTGGATTGAAAGCCGTGACCAGAAGGCATCTAAAACTTATGGTTCTCAAACATTAAACGTTGTCGTTTAATCGCGTCATATTATGCCCAGGGCCGGATTTAGCACGAGGTCATATGGGCCCGGGCCCATATCGGCAAATTTGTGGGGGCAGCAAAAAAATTAAATTTGGGAAATAATTCCACAGTATTATCGTGGAAAAATATCATAACCTCTTAAGAAATTGAAGTTAAAAGTAATCATGAAATATGCAGTAACATAACCTCACATTTCGACGAAATTATGTCAACTTTGTACTAAGATTGTGTAAAATTTAGGGCTTCTCCCGCAATTTATTATTTAAAACGCTTAATTAATTATCGATCGTACCTGGGGGGGCTTAATAACATCACGTAATCGTTAGATTCTCTGAATTCTCTGAGATACTATTCAGTGGTTAGAGATATTATACTTTGTTTCAATAACAGTTTATAAATCTCATAATCAATATGACAAAGGTTTTTACTACCATTTAAATCAATCTGAGCAGATTAGGAGAAAGAAAATTGTATTAACACTTTTCTGTAATGAGTAAAAAATAAAAATATAAAATGCTTTTAATTGGTTGGGAGGGGAGCGGCGATTTGGGGGGCCCATAGGCGCAAATTATGTAGGCCCCCCCCCCTGATTATGGCCACTTTTCATAGTTATAGTTTTTGTGGACACCGAGTGCAGTGGAATTTAGACCCGCGCATGAAATTTCTATAGTTCGATATATTTTAGTTGTACAGAGTGTTTAATAAAATACAAGTCATTTTCTTTTAGCACCCGAGAGTGATTCATTATACATTGAACTATTTCAGTTAAATACAGTTGAATATTTTCTACCAATGCAAAGTATGTTTGCGAATGAATCAGGTTTGACAATTTACTTTACAAAATTGTTTCTCCTCAAACCCCATAATGGTTGTTAAACGCACGCAATCGCAGTTAATATGCAGAAAATCCGCGTTAAAAGTATACATGTTACTTTTACCCTTGCACAACTTGCGGTTTAATCAGCAACCGAAAAAGTGGAAGGTATATAATAATGGTACCATTTCAAAGGTCTTTTCACGAATAAAATTTGAGTGGGAAAACAATTTTGTAAAAATTTAAGTTTCTGAGAAAAATGGCAAAATGTCAATTTTCAGGAATTCGAACTCTTATAAAAAGGATTCCCACTGATCCCTCGAAGTAATAACCCTTCGGAAATTGTTTGTTAAGGTCTCTGGAAACTTGGCGCAAAATTTGGTGCTTGGATCCGGCTGATAAATATCTTTTCCCAATAAGGCAAGGTATTCGTGTTTTATGACAACGGAACGTCGTCGGACATTTGTATGTACCTGTACGGGAAGGAGGGTGGGGAGTTTTCAAGGTAGTTACGATAGGCATATGCATTTATAATAACATTGACAAATTGTGTAATTTAAATAATCACATTACTCTGTGTTAATAATTAATTGAGTTGATTTGGTGGAAAGGAATGTCGCAATTGTGCTCACTTGTGTATTGGACGATTTTTTTTACGATTACCAGTGGTGGATCATGTTCTATAAGGATCCTGACCAAACGACAGCTTGTAATTTTGGAATATAAACTTTCAAACCGCACCATTTCATAAAAATCCATCACAGATGGTACCTTGTAAACACAAGGTGTCATAATTTTCACCTGTTAGTTGAAATGTACATAGATCCATTATAAAACCTATACAAATACATGTAAAATTGTCGGTTATGTATCGATTTCCCTGGAAAAATGTCTCAACGCATTACCAAGCGTAAACAAAAAACATATTTATGACTTATGATATCGTTTCAAGTGTATTTATATCAAAATTAAGATATACAGGGTTAGTCGCGTATTTTTTAAGAAAACAGTTTCGACATATGAAAACCTACATTTTATAGAAAAATGCGTCTCAACACATAGGTTGGACGAAACAAAAGTATTTTGGCGCATCATTACAACCATTTATGGGGCGGAATGCAAAGTTGATGACGGAAATAAAAGAAATAAATCGAGAACAAAAATAGATCAAATTTACGTAACCATCTCACAAAGAAGAGGAAAGAGAACAATGCCAATGAAGAAAAAGACCAAGGAAAATAAACGAAAACGGATTACACGACTCTCACAGTCGGTTGTAACTAGTGGATCTGTGATAACCGAATAGACCAACTAGGAAAAAAAGTTAAAAATCTAGAAAAAACAATCAAACGAATAGTAAAAGAGGAATAATGTTCGGTGAGGCAAAAAGATCATGTACATGAATGTTAGAGGCGCACTTTATTACATATATCGGAAAATTATAAATTTGACAAGAAATAAAACGAAACACCACCATTGGGAAATGTGTCTTATTTTTCACATATAAGAGTATTATTTAAGTTAGATGGAGTAAGTGTGGCGCTTCTTTAATTTTGATATTTGAAACGCAAGGCAAAGAGTAGGGTTTGGTAAAACGAACGAAAGAACGCAATCTGTATCGAACCGGTGACCCCATTGTTATTACCTTTGGAAGAAAGTTGCCTATTGTTTATGTTGGGTAGTGCTGGGCGGTATTAGGAATCCCCCTTATCCTCTTTATCACCTTATTAGTAATTCCAATAGTGTTTGATACAATTTGCCTGCCAGCACAACCGGAATTGTTTTTGAATTTATCATATACAATCAGAAAACGCAGAAAGTATAGATAGTTATTACAACCGGGAATGCACCTTATTGAGACATTTACGAGACAGAAAAAAATGCTCATGTAGTTCCGTTGTCAGGTGATAGATGAAAGAAGTCCAGGATTTTTTTGTCTGTAGTAAAACAACGAAACGTGTACGACAAAAGTCAAGTGCATGGTAGGGGTGGCCAAAATGAGAATAATTACACTCTCAAATTTAATAATCGTTTCAATAGCTTCATTTAAAAAAATTGAGCATATAGGCGGTACCGCAACTTCGTTGTGTTACGCAAAAAAGTTGATAGTTTCCAAGTTGTTGTACACAAAAAATCATAAAATGTGGTATTTTGAATGTCGCGTAGCAAACCTCAGATTCAGATTTGGCACCCCAAAAATTACCCCATAACTTTTTAGCGAGGAAGTACAAGTATCTATCAAAATAATTTATTCAGTTAATATCAAATATTTCTTTTATCGAATATTTGGAAAAAACTTTGTTCGATATATCTTTAACGCTATTGGATATATTGTCTTGAAGTTCGTCAGTGAACGTCTCGATAAACGTTTTGGAGTTCTCGTTCAAAAAATTATCGACCTTTTTATTGTATTCATCGTTGCCTTTTACAATCTCACCCAACTGAATTAAAACGGGCTGGCCCCAGACAATTGAAGTTTTAACATCGGTCACTCTCATATACTCTTCATTGTCCTTTGTATATTTTTCGCAGATCATGGTAACGGTCAGCCCTACGTTTCCTAAAAAGAGTATGTAAGATAAAGTTGAACAACAAGAATGTGTTTTACTTTACCTACGATTCCGTTTCCTTCTCCTCGAGCGTCGATTTCTTCACCCAAGAGATTCCCTTTTAAAGTGTAATTGCCATATAGACGTAGCTCGGGATGGAACGTTTCCAAGGACATTTCACATTTATCCAAATTGACTCTAGTAAAGAGAATTTCAGGTTTTGAACGTACAATCGATACCATACCCACCTAAACTGCTTCACATTCAATTTGGGTAAATGTCCCACCTTGTTATCTTCATATCGTTGATAAATGTTCATAGGTCCGGGTTTGGGCAGTATCTCTGTTGTGCCTACGTGCAGGGGATCAATACTATCAATACCCAACTCCTTTAAACCTTCAATAATAGATGCCACAATATGCACTCAGCTCAAACCTGTCCGCTTACCGTTCCCTAAATTCGCTATCGCATATTCTGCACTGGATTTCAGACAGGATTCGTCTTCCAGCTTGCATTTTTTGAAAATGCTCGCTAAAATCATAAAAACTTTAATAATGACATTTACAGCAATGCACTCACGTAAAGATGCTGATGAAGTTATGCCAGTTACACCAAGTGCAACAAGTGCACATATTTGCAAATGGAATTGCATTTTAGATGTGCACATTTGTTTACAAAGCAGAAGTTTATATACGTACCTATATTGCACTTTAATTCGTGATTACATGTAAATCACCTTCAGGGAAGAGAATCATTTGCGTCATTTATAAATCATAACGGAAATGGTACTCACAAAACCGCGCTTCTGCTTCATAGGCATTAGGGGTGAAGATGCCTTACTTAATCCATATATCACAGAGCGAAAGCTATCCGGTAACCAGTTTTCTGTAAAAATGGGAAGTTTTGAAAACTTGGATAAGTAATTAAACAATTATAAATGTATCTCTTTGGAAACGAGTTTTCTTTTATAATTATGAATGATATTCAGGTTCGTGGTCATCGAGTTAATAATTTAGAAGTCGTTAAATTTTTTCGTATTGCAGAGACGAATTTCTTTAATTTTTCTTGGTTAAAATGTTGAAAGATTTTCCAATTTTTTATACAACAATTAAGTATTCTCCACTCTATTACAATGCACAACCTGTCTCCATTTGTGGTTTCTCCCTGATATGAAAACAACTTGAGTTTAAAAATGATACTAAACCTCAAACTCAACTCAAACTGGTTATTTACTACATGCTACATGTAACAAGCCTATTGAAAATGGGTCAAATCGAGACCTACACTGAGATTTTTCATTTGTCGATCAGACATCTTCCGATATATCGCACAAAAACGATTTTATTTTGAATACTAAAAGTCCAAGGTGAGTAATTTATTCTGTTTTTTAAATGCGAAACAAGGCTATGTGCCTACTGCCTAAGAGAAAAGGGAACCACAGAACATATATGGCGGTTGGGTCGTTTTAAATACTACCCTAATGCTTTTTTTCTTATTTTTTTAAGATTGGTGTCTGATCTCTCATACCCATACCGATAGTCGTCAATGTGTATAATAAACAATGCAAAATCCAAAAAAAATAAGCCGCAATCATATTCTCCTTCCTACTAACCCCAAAATGTATACTGCAAACCTTAAAACACCTCCACTCCCAAATCAACTGGTTTGTTGGTTGGGCCGCTGTTGATTACTCCGCACCTCTTACGACATGCAGTGTCTTTGCAGTAGGGATATTCTTTCCCGACCTTACACAGGCATAAAAAATTCAAGTACAAGATCTATTCATTTTGGTTATAATTGGTTTAATTAATAGTAAAAAATGAATGCATTGATCTCTTTTTTATTAATTTCCACTGTATGCACGAGGGTGCAACGAAGTTTAAAAATACTGTAACGAACTTATGTTTTACAATTTTCAGTACCTACAGTAAGCATAGTTAAAGTTAACTGATGTCAAAAATCTCATTCACAGCATACTTAGAGAACACCTTGTTGGACCAATCTTCAAATAAAGATTCCAGTAAAACTTGAAAGTCACCTTTTGCAGTTTCCAAAATGTCATTCGAGTTATCGTTTACTTTTTTATCCAGATCTCGATTGCGTTGCTCGTCATCTTTGAAAACATTACCATAGTGTAGTACCATGGTTCCCCAATTTACTAAAACTTTCACGTCCGTTACTTTTATATACTCTTTGCCATTGTCTTTATTTCTATTACAAGTCAAAGTGACCCCGATGGTAGTATTCGCTATAAATAATAAACAATAAAAATAAATAAAGAATAATACTGCATACTCGAAGTGCCATTTGCTGTTTCACCTCCGTTAATATCGAAACCGAACAGTTCTCCTTTTATAAAGAAGTCACCACTACAGAACAGGCTGGGATAAAACGTTTCTAAGTTTATCTCGCATGGATCCAAATTTATCCTGCAAGTAGTGCCAGAATACAAAAAGATGTCACCATTTTGTACATACTTGAATTGGTTCACTGTCAATTTCGTCAAATGGTTAATTTTGGTGTTGGAGTAGTTTTGGTACATGCTCACGGGGCCATCACTTGCTTGTACCACTAGGTCTTCTAAGGATAACGGATCAATAGGTGGCATTTGCAATTCCGGAAGACCTGCATTCAAGAAAAGTAAATGGATCTTTACCGCCCTGTTGTAGCTCAAAGCTCACCGTTTCCCATTTTGGCAATGGCGTACTCAACACTTGATGCTAGGCAACCCGTGTCATTTATTCTGCACCTCTTCAAGATGTCGGCTTAAAATAAGAAAGAGAAATTTGACTGATTTGTGTAGTTTATGGGAGGTACTCACGTAAAGGGTTGCATAAAACCAAAGCGATCAAATAAAATGCAAGAGGGATGCGAATTTGCATGTTAATTCGAAACTTGTCTAGCGTGATTGCTCTGAGATATGCTACTTTTATGCGTTGAATAATTAAAAAATGAGGAAATGCCTATAATTTTAACATGATAGTACTACAATGTTAATTATAGCATATTGCCACGTAGGGCCGGCTCACGGCAAAAGTTACGTATAAGCAAGCCTTAAAATGTGAGCCCTTCCCTCCGAGGAAACCCTGAATAATGGGAACTTTTGGCAAGCAGGTTTTTAAAAATACAAGGTCCCTGATAAGTCTGGAAACTGTCGATTAAAGAAAAAAAAATGCAAGATATCGAAATATGTTTAATACAACAGTTTTGGAGTTCTTCAATGTCTAGTAGGCAGTAATAATTTTAATTGCACAGGGTTGCTCATAAAGGCGCGGCACATAAAAATTGCATTTTTTTAAATAGAACACCTTGTATATTATTCAATATTTCAATTCTTCTCTCAATTTTAAGCAGAATTTGTAATAAGCATAATGTACCTAAATTCAATCGTTTCCGGGTTATCGGGTTTTGAAAATGAACACAATTGCATCTTAGGTACATTATGCTTCTTACAAATTATGCTATGCCTTTATGACCAACCCTGTATAATTAAAATTACTACTGCCCAGTAGACATTAAAGATCCTCGAATCATTTGTATAAAACTTTTTTTGATACGTCTGTAGGGCGTTATAGACGTCGTGATTCGTGGATTGCTTAAGTGTGATCTTTTGGTGTTAAAAATATAAAACGTCCATACTCCGGCGGTCATTAAACTTTAGTGTATTTTTTTCACCCCTTTTTGTAATAACCGCCTACACCTAAAGCCGGCCCTGTTGCTACGCCACGATAATTATTGTGCATTGTAGACGTACTTAATTATAGGTGTTTGCATAGTGTTCAAAGTACCGCACCTGTTTTTTGTCAAAAATCGTATGAAAAGCTTTACTTTTTTTGCAATTTTTACTATGCGTTTCGATGGCCTTTAGTCCGAACTATGAACAATGCATCAATTTTTGAGTGACAGTAAATAGTGAATGTTAATTATGGGTTATTAAGGATCATTATATAAAAAATTCGTGTTCAACATGTTTTGAAAGTGTCTTTTTTTAACTTGTTCACTGCAAATTCATGCAAAAAGGATCACTAGTTGTACAAATAACTATTAATTTCCGAATGTTTATTCTTAACATTTTTTTAATAACCCAAATATCCTCTTGAGAGCCAGCCATACATATTTGCTCTTAAAAGTTTAACTTCGCCTCAAAATCAGTAAATAATAACCCTGAATTGGTGTTCCAATGTTAGTACTATACTGACAAATGATCTGGCCCGTATATAGAGTTCTCAACCAGTAAAAATGTGCTAACACGCTCTCCATCGTCACAATGTTGTATTTGTGCACCCATGTCCCTTTCCATCCTGTTTCCTATTTTTCTCTTCTCTTCGATTACAACCCGTCAGTATGACCGTATCCATTCCTTTCATATGTTTCTGCTTATTCTTTCCAAGTTTGTTTTGCATTCTTTTACCAACTCGCTTTCCCTTTCGCTCCTTTCCTCGAACTTTACGGCCCTGCATCACGACGCTATATCCTTATATTCTCCATTATTGTTGCTTCCTCTAATATACAATTTGGTGTCCTTCTGTTTAGCCCTAATATCTATTTATATTTTTTTTAGATTCCTTTAAGTTTATCCTAAGCGTATTTGCCCCATTATTTCATTGTATTTGGTAGCATAAATATTTAACTTTTCTTACTTCTTCTATTCTTTCAAATCTCCACTTTATTCCATTTTCAGTCCACTGCCCTTCCCAAATCTCATTATCTTAGCCTTTCCTGCATTCCTTTCCTTTCCCAATACCTCTCTATTCTTCCCATCATTTCTTTTATGTTCTACCTTTGTTGTCATTATCACTGCATCGTCCGCGTATGCCAGATACCATATCTTTCTTCTTTCCATTACGTTCCCTCCACTTTACCCATGTAGAAATTAAACAGGTCGCTAACTTTTGAAGAATTATCGACAGTGCTGTGGCAAATTGAGGCCTACTCAAATCCCGACCGTTTTGTGCAGTACCGGAGAATGCAAGGACTTATTGGTACTTATCCACTCCCACAACGACTGTCTTTCCTGCTGGCGGCTCAAGATGTTCATTTGGAACAGATTCCCACGTCCGCCAAAATTTAGGAACCATAAACGTAAAAATAACCAGGAAGAGAATAAGTTAAGGTTAATTTTGTTTAGAAGTAAAAATTCCGGTATACTTCCCTTATCAAATAGCGGAATGCGAGGCGGAAGTGGAAGTGAAAAAATTTGCCGAATTTCCGCGGAAGCGGAAGCAGAGGTTTGTATAAATAAAGTATAAATGTGTTCGAAAGTAAGTATATTCCATGAGTTCGTTTCAGGCAAAATATTTTTAACAGGCTCTAGAAGGTACGGCAATAAATGGAACTTTAATTGAGTTCTTTTTTGTGGTTTCTGCCCCACCCCTGAATTGGCCAACAAGTTGCCTAGAGGCGCCACATTGTGCACTACTAAACTACAGACACAGGGTTTTTATTCCGGCACGAACCCTAATTTTAAGCTTTTGGATTTTCAATGGAAATAGACTATTTTTTTATTCGTTTTCAAAATTTCTATTCAAGAAAGTTCCTGTTCAGGAAATTATGTTTTCAATTTTTATTCTCAGTAGATTTTGATTGATCCATATGACTCTCTAACTTGGAATAAAAACAGTAAATCAAATATGCCGTCATTGACTATTTTTTAAATGGCGACCCTAATTTTTTTGTGAGTATAATATCTATAACAAGCTACACATGCGTGCTAAATCTCAAATTTGTATTTCTTGTCTAATTTTCCGACAAACGGTGAACATCAGTAAAATTAATCTCGCTCAAATGCGTCGAATGTGATGTTACACGTTTTATAACTTACTTGCCATTGTGATAAGACGTTAAAATGGTACGTCAGTTCGACAAAAAACCTTTGGCATGCCACTTTTGTTAAATATCTTCTAAATGACAAGAAAATGCATTTGAAAATTAAGGTACACATACGTAACTTGAGATACTCTGTAAGAGCATTGAAGAGTCATAGAGGGGTGCAGTTAAATAGTCGATGACGTTATATCTCAAATTTGGTACCTCCCGTATAAAACTTTATTACATCAAAAAGAGCACAGTTTAAAATACTAATCGACGTGTGCGGGCATATTTCCGAAAAAAAAACCTTTGATTTACTTCATTTATACTTATGGACTCATCGTGTATATTACTGTGTAAACAAAGCCATGTAGACGTTATTGCCGTTTAAACACCAAAAATGATGGGACGCCCTGTATATGAGAATTTTTCAATTTATTAAGCCTGAGGGACTATTGACGTATAAACACAAGGTTGGTTTTATTTTACCTGAATTTGTTGTCTCAGTGGCTATTTTTCCTTTGAGAATTGTTCTCTTTTTTTCTTGTTTAAATGTGTTTAAAATGTATCACTTGTCATTCATTCAATTTAGATACGGTAGGATGGAGGAATATTATCAGGTGAAAATTAATTAACGCGCGTGTTTTACCGCTGTTAAAAGATAACGGAAATGCACTGCATTGGCGTTTGCCTATTTTTCCAAAAAGAAAGAGACCTACTATTCGAGTTCTTATTTCTCTATCTATACCTATGTCGTACCTAAAACCCGAATAATTTAATTACCTCTATAATGTACAAGGTTTTTCTATTACCAGTTTTTCCGCCTCCTTAGAACGTAGTACTTTGAAAATGCGGAAATGATTTTTTTATTTTTGTTTCAGAATAAATACCCTACACCGTTGAGTGAGAAATATAAGGCACCAACATATTTCAGTACCTCGGCGTCTTCATCGTACAAGTATGACCTCCAGCTCTCAATCACGTCGAAATTTTAAGCAATAATCCACCACTTGGAAAGCTCTTAAAAATTAATCACAAAAGCATAATCTTGTTCTGACAATAAGATGCCAATTTCTACTTAAATGGGCTTGACTTCAAGTTTCTAAAATGCAATAATTCTCTTGATCAGAAATGCCAATAACATACCCGCCATTATTATCTAAAATAGCATTCCTCCATTTACTAACTAACTAACGAAACCACCAGTAGATGGTGAAATATATGCTTTTGTCATTTGATTACTCAATATATTCATCACATAAATTTGTTCAATATATTATATATGTACTGTTATGTAAATTACGGCATGCGGACTTTTTATGGGTATAGTAATGATGGGTCATCGTGAATGAGGGCAATTTCAGTTTTTTAAAGTTAAATGTGGTTGTTAATTTGGGTTGAACACACATTCGATCATTTTATTTGAATTTGAAATCAATGATGGTTTGTATTAGAGATATTAAACGCCTAATTTTGTTTAAATAATCACATTGTATTTTGATTGATTTATTGTTCAGTTAGATCACCTTTAAAAAAGATTAGGGGCATCTGGAAATAATTGCGGTAAGTGTGTTTTAAAAGTTTATCTCAGTGAAATTCGGTCGTGTGATAAGGTGTTCATTGTTGCTCCGTAAAAGTTAATTAATTTGAACATAAACATATGTTAGTTTATTAAAGACGCATAGTCAAATTAGACGAAAAAGGTGAGCAAGCCGTCCTTTTTAGTAGGGTTTTCATATAAAAATTGAGGTAGAGTGTTTTTTAGCTAGTTGGACAGTTGTTAATATGGGTTTGGTGACCGTTATATTCAGATATTTATTTAACAATAGCAATGAAAACTTGTAAAGAACTTTCCGATAGGTGCGTAGCAAGTATTGAGTGGTTTGACAACTTCAATGGGAAAAAAAAGATATGGAATTATTGAAGCTTTATGAATTACGCACTTTGAACGTATAAAAATAAGAAAAGAAATAAACTTTACTATTCCGGCAGTTTTGGATTCAATGCGCTTCGGTATCATAATTTTTACCTTGTTGCAAAAAACTTTGAGTTTGAGAGAAACAAAGCACGCATTTTCTTCCAAACAGGAAATTTCATGAATTCGTACCTACATTTATTTTTATTACATATATTGATGTGAACGATCTTG